GCAACAGCCGTTTGGTTGCGACCCACTGTGGGAAGGTACAGGCAGTCCGCGACAATCATGGACTTCAACGCTAAAGTAGGCTCCTTGGACCCAAACAGGCATAGGCCACCTATGCTAAACGCTGGATGGTAGTTGCTATGTGATGTCCATCACGTAGGCATACCAGAAATGTTTTACACTCCTGCAGTTATTTCTTCAGTAAATCAGTGGAAAAAAGATGTGGCAGCCCATTTATATAGGGTCTATTTGTCTTCCCACATCTCAAAGGGACACTAACATAAAAGGTAATGTTGGCCACACCAGTTGGTTGTAAAAGGAGAACCAAGTAATACAATTATTAAAGTAATCAATAAGAGGTGCAATTCATCAGTCAGTCCTACTTAGCAAGGTGACAACTGAAGCTTTTCAATGCATACCCCTAACGAGCTACTCATTGCTCACCATACTGTTCTGATGCCAACTCCTCTTGTTGAGATGGAAATTCTAAGTGTCACTGTGGAAGAAAGTGATTTTAAATACTTCATTTTTGTTGCTTATGTTAAGTATTAAAAGAAGGTTCCCTAAGGCCAGTTTTCCAAAAAATCAGTTTTCCAAGGAAAGAAAAGTATACTTCAAATTTTATAGGCAAGTTTTATGTATAATGTATGCCAAGTTCTTTTCCGTATTAAGAACAGTACCTTTGTCATTCCTTTGGGATTGAGTTACAAGTTATTTTCCTGAACAACACCCAGTCTTAATCTAAAATACTGAGATGTTGATAAATTCCTGTAAATAACGTGATAGTGAAGGCGGCAACTCGTAACTGTGCTACATTTGGGTGTTTCTAAATGTGAGGTGTAGAAATATTGTAAAGACATAAAGGGGGAAATAATCTTTGTCTTTGTTATAAGAAATTTGAAGAGCAGGAGGTCAAGATCTTTGTGAAGACTAGTCAGAGAGGTATGATAATTATATGCACCATGTTCTGAGGGTGCATTGTTCTATGTGATGAAAAGAGCTGCAAAGCAATGTTACTTGCAAGAAATGATCCTGTCGAGCACCTACACAAAATACTAATATCTTCTTGTCACAAGCTATTTATATCTTATGTATTTTCCTTGATGTTTCCCTGTTTCAGAGGCAGAAGATGCATTTGTCAACAAAGAGAAGGTGCAGAAAGAGGTGAAAGCTGCACTATCAGAAAATGCCACGCTGAGCTGCGAGGTGGCCCAGGAGAAGACCGATGTGAAATGGTACAAGGAGGGGAAACTGATCACCTCGAGCAAGAAGTTCAAGGTGGAGTCGGAGGGCAAATCGCGTCGCCTGGTGGTGGGTCAGGTGGAGAAGAAAGATGCTGGGGAGTACACCTGCGAGGCTGCTGGCCAGAAACTGACCTTCAAGGTTGTCATTACAGGTGGGAGATGTTGGTTCTCATCACAGAGTGGTCCTTGACTTCCCCTTATGATTGAGCAAAGTCAATCACTCTCTGGGCTCCAGGGACTGTGTAGTGCAGATATTCATTAAGTAGTGAGGGAGACCAGGTAACCAACTTGCGTGCACCCACTGTCACACAGGCATCTGGAGCCAGTTGTCTTCATCTATGAGATGAATTCCACTCAGCAGTCCTTGCTGTTTTCTGTTGTCAGAGTAAAGAAGAATTAAAGTTTACATATACCGATTTATAGGGACAAAGGTAGGGCCGGCTCCCAGATGTGTAATAAAACAGGTCTGGAATTAGTAGGAACATAGGTCTGCTCAGGAAGTACCTAGAACGGGCAAGGCTTACATATGGGTCCCACTGGCAGATGAGATTGGTTGCTTATTCATGCACTACATTAAAGAACAAAAAGTCAGATTTCTTGTGGATCCATGGAGATCAGAAGAAACTAAACTCCTTAGCTGTGGATCACGTTGCTCAGAAGTGACTGATAGGTTTCCTCAGGCTATACAGAAGGCCATGTCCTGTCTGAATGTATCCTAGCTGTGAGTGGGAATGTTTCAAAATGGCAGAGCTGTGGAAGTTGTCATAAGCAGGATTTTTCATTTGGGTTTGGACACTTTGAACAGCATGAACATACGTTTGATTTTTAAATTGCTTCTCCCACCCTACAGAAGCAGAAGATGCATTTATCAACAAGGACAAAGTGAAGAAAGAGGTGAAAGCTACACCAACAGAAAACGCCACCCTGAGCTGCGAGGTGGCCCAGGAGAAGACCGATGTGAAATGGTACAAGGAGGGGAAACTGATCACCTCGAGCAAGAAGTTCAAGGTGGAGTCGGAGGGCAAATCGCGTCGCCTGGTGGTGGGTCAGGTGGAGAAGAAAGATGCTGGGGAGTACACCTGCGAGGCTGCTGGCCAGAAACTGACCTTCAAGATTGATGTCACAGGTGAGTGAATTTGCTGCATCTCTGTTTTACATCCTGAAAAAACTGATGGCGAGAAAAGTTACTGGCTTGGCAAATTCCATCTCAGCAGCCAGTGATGGAGCCAGTTTTTAAATTCTGCTGGTTTACTCATGCAGCTGTGTTCAAACTATTAGCTCTGCCTCTGTTCTTTGCAAACTAGTAACGCAGCGGATTGCTGTGGCCCAAGAGCAGGGCAGGCTGAAGGTCATTGGGGAATTTCCCTGGGACTCTGGCAGAGATGCACTGGTAGCAAAATGAGAATTCAGTAAGTGCAGGAGAAATTTAAGGACATATAAAGTCTTCTGAGCACAAACGTTCTCTTGTGAATGCTCCTTCAAATAAAGTGTCTATTTATTACGGAGGAAACCTTTTTATTATGGCCTCTGTCAATGAAAAGGAAATACTAGAACTGGTCTGAGAAGCAGTAGCTGAGGAAACCAGGTCTCTTCGCCATGACATTAGCAAGAACATGATTTAACCTTGAGATCCCTCAGTTGGATCTTGACGAGTTTAAAGCAACTTGAGGAGTTTATATGTTAAATTGCTTTTTGATTCCGGCATGGTGCAGTGCTTAGCAAATACCATGGGGGCTGGCTAATTTTCGTTCTGTAGAGAAACATAGTTCTGGGATGATGCAACTTTGGAACATTTGGAAAATAAAGATATAGACACAGAATAGGCTCAACAAGTTTGTTTCCCAAGACTAGCTTTGCTTTTGCTGACAAAGCACATTGCAGATCTTGGGTTGTTTGAACAATTTCATGTTCGTCCACTTACAGCAAACAGATGTCTTACAGACTGCATCCACAGGTGTGCTGCTGGACATTGGGATATGAGAATTTCTTTTCTGCAGTTTTTGGATAATGATGGAAATGAAAGCAACTTTGAGGCCAACTAACCTGTCCTGGACTACCAGTAAAGGTAGTCCTTCACAGGCGTTTGATGTAATTCAAATGTTAGCTTTCACTTCACAGTGTTAGCAGGGAATGTGAATGGGAAATCCATCTTCAGCACACAATCCAAACACTGATGTGTGCATTTGAGATGGGGTGTGTGTCTGGAAGATTAATTTTCTAAATCTGCCCATGTACCCTTAATTCCAGAAGCAGAAGATGCATTTGTCAACAAAGAGAAGGTGCAGAAAGAGGTGAAAGCTGCACTGTCAGAAAACGCCACGCTGAGCTGCGAGGTGGCCCAGGAGAAGACCGATGTGAAATGGTACAAGGAGGGGAAACTGATCACCTCAAGCAAGAAGTTCAAGGTGGAATCGGAGGGCAAATCGCGTCGCCTGGTGGTGGGTCAGGTGGAGAAGAAAGATGCTGGGGAGTACACCTGCGAGGCTGCTGGCCAGAAACTGACCTTCAAGATTGATGTCACAGGTGAGAGAAGATTCTTTGGCCCAGCCTTCTGATTTCTGGATTTTTTTGAAAAATGAATATTATAGTTATGACATATCTTCTGTGTAAAACTTCATAACATCCTGAAGATAGGGAGCTCCATCCTTGAAAAACTTTAGAAGCTACCCATCTCTGTAGGAACAGGGCCATGAAAAGGAAACTGCTGATTGCACATGTCTATCCCCATGTCTTGGTGCAACCAGAACAACTCTGCAACACAGCTGATCCTCAGTGAATTTCAGAGCAGGGTCATGGTGAAGAGTCGTAGGGTGTCTACCCAATGTCTGCACTCAAAACCTAAAACAAAACACAAAAACTCAACGCAAAGCAGTTTGAATGTGCATAATTTTAGATGTGTATTGTCAAGTGAGAGGCTTGGTTTCCAGTGTTACCTGTAAGCTGTGATAAGGGGATTGGGCAACATCATATCTTGGAGATGCTCTGAATTTCTCTCTTTTCAGAGCCAGAAGTTGTGTTTACAAACAAGGACAAGGTCCAGAAGGAGGTGAAAGCTGCACTATCAGAAAATGCCACGCTGAGCTGCGAGGTGGCCCAGGAGAAGACCGATGTGAAATGGTACAAGGAGGGGAAACTGATCACCTCGAGCAAGAAGTTCAAGGTGGAGTCAGAGGGCAAATCGCGTCGCCTGGTGGTGGGTCAGGTGGAGAAGAAAGATGCTGGGGAGTACACCTGCGAGGCTGCTGGCCAGAAACTGACCTTCAAGGTTGATGTCAAGGGTGAGAGAAGATTCTTTTACGTAGCCTTCTTATTTCTAGAATATTCAGAATAATGAATGTTATTTCATAAGTTATTTTCCTGTTATGCTTCAAATTTTTGGTGAACATCATAGAGATGGCCTGGCTCTGATTGAGAAATAGGACAAAGAGTTACAAATACAGTTCTTTTCATGTTATCTACGTAAAACTTTATAAAATCCTGAAGATGGGGAGCTCCATCCTTGAAAAACTTTGGGAGCTAACCATCTGTGTAGGAACAGGGCCATGGAAAGTTGGTTGGTACAACCAGAACAACTCTGCAAAGCAACTGATGCTCAGTGTGTTACATTGGAGAGCAGTTGGGTGTCTGCTTGACGTCTGCACTCTTTTTCTTCCTCTTGGAAGAGCTCATTGCAGCCTGGGGTTGACTATGACAGTAAGGCTGGATGCATGTTAAGGTCTTTAAGGCATCAGGTAAATGGCAACGAGGGAAAGAAAATGTCATGGAGACTCATTTCAGATGCACCACCCTACTGAGGCTGCAGAGTAGGAGAATAAATCCAGCTTCTCAACTTGCTCCCTGTCTCCTGAGGCTCTTGCAAATGGGCCGATTCATGTGCCTACTGGAGAACAAGGTGATTTCACCATTCAGATGTAAGAACGTGAGGAGGGCTGGGCTTTTCTCAGGTTTGCATGGGAAATCAGAAGACAGTCCCGAACACGTCAGTCTGGGTCTCACCACCCTTTGCACTGGCCGCAGTTCAGCCCCGCGGCAGCTCTGGCACCGCACGGCCGCTCACTGCTCCCCTCGGTGCGGGGAGAGGAGAAAAACGAAATGAAAGGGCTGAGGGTGAGACAAGAACAGGGAGGGAGCACCCACCAGCCATGGTCCCGGGCAAAATGGACTCAGTTTGGGGACAAGTCAATTTAATTTATTAAGAGTTATTTGAGAGGATAACTAGAAACAAAGCCAGATCTTAAAAACACCTTCCCCCCATCCCTTCCTTTTTCCCCACCTCTCCCTCCTCCCCAGCAGCACAGGGGATGGGAATGGGGGGTGCAGGTCAGTTTGTCACACGCTGTTTCTGCTGCTCCTTTCTCAAAGGAGGAGGGCTCCTCACACCCTTTTCCCTGCTCCAGTGGATCCTCTACTGATGGGACAGTCCACAGACTGCTCCACTGTGAGTCCTTCCTGCAGGATGCAATCCTGACCCATGGGATTGCTCCGGTGTGGGCTGTTACCATGGAGTCACGGCTTCTCAGGGAGCTGCCGCTCACTCTGGGGATGGGATCCTGGCCAGAGACCAATCCAACCGCTTTTGGAGGCCGGGAAGTTACAGGAGGTGAAGCCTCTCTCCTGCTGCCAGAACCCTTTCACATCAACCCAGCACAGCACTGGGGAAAGTTACGTAGTGCCAATAGGACAGGAATGGCAGATACTGGGAACGGAAGGAATGAATGGTATGGGGCTGTGACACAGTAAGGGACAGTTCCTCCCAGTAAGAATTCACTACTTTGCTCTCAAATTCAACCAAAATGTATCTTGCCTTGACTGGGGACTGCCATGCAATACTCTTATAAATGATCCAGACGATCTAGCTTGCTGCCAGAAATACACTAATCTTAGTGTGATTTGTGACAAAGCCACAAAAACCTGCTTCAAAACAAAACAAAACACACACAACAAACTCACCACAAAACAGTTTGCGTGTTCTTCTAACAGCTTTAGATGTGTATTGTCAAGTCAGAAGCTTGGATTCCAGTGTTACCTGTAAGCTGTGATAAGGGGATTGGGCAACATCATATCTTGGAGATGCTCTGAATTTTTCTCTCTTTTCAGAGCCAGAAGTTGTGTTTACGAACAAGGACAAGGTCCAGAAGGAGGTGAAAGCTGCACTATCAGAAAATGCCACGCTGAGCTGCGAGGTGGCCCAGGAGAAGACCGATGCGAAATGGTACAAGGAGGGGAAACTGATCACCTCGAGCAAGAAGTTCAAGGTGGAGTCGGAGGGCAAATCGCGTCGCCTGGTGGTGGGTCAGGTGGAGAAGAAAGATGCTGGGGAGTACACCTGCGAGGCTGCTGGCCAGAAACTGACCTTCAAGATTGATGTCACAGGTGAGTGAATTTGCTGCATCTCTGTTTTACATCCTGAAAAAACTGATGGCGAGAAAAGTTACTGGCTTGGCAAATTCCATCTCAGCAGCCAGTGATGTAGCCAGTTTTTAAATTCTGCTGGTTTACTCATGCAGCTGTGTTCAAACTATTAGCTCTGCCTCTGTTCTTTGCAAACTAGTAACGCAGTGGAATTCACAAGGTGCCCAAGCAGCTTTAAGTATGTGATGCTAAAGGGAGTGTTGATGCTGCAGCCTTGGGTACCTTGCCAGCCATGATCCTGGCCTACCTGAGTACTGTACAGAGAGCATATTTCTTTTGTCCCTTTGAAAGTCACATTTGTGACAGTGGAAGAGACCATGAAGAGTCTGTTCCAGAAGCCCATAGTGCTGTATTTGTGATCTTGAGTTTGGCTCTTAAGTAAAAGGCATTTGGGAGCTTTTGGTGAGATGCAGGACAAGATGTTCTTTGGGAATGTTCGAATTAAGTGTTTTTTGCCTGGTGGCTTGCAACCATAGGATTGATGTCAAGGATCCTCTTGGTCCTCTCTGTTTCTAGACTCTTGCTTCCCTAGTTTCCACATTGCAATTCAGTCACACAGAAGGGTAGATATTGCCCAGTGAAGGCAATTAGTTTTGACAATTGACAACCTAAATATTTTCCAAACACCTCCACAGAAATCTGTAAGACTGATCACGTTTTAATCCCTCAATCAATATTTTCTTCCCTTTCTGCATACAGAGCCAAAACCTGCATTTATAAACCAGGAAAAGGTCCAGAAGGAGGTGAGCGCTGTCCTGACAGAAAGTGCCACCCTCAGCTGTGAGGTAGCACAGGATGCCACCGAAGTGAAGTGGTACAAGGATGGAAGACTGCTCATTTCCTCTAGAAAATTCAAAATAGAAACTGTGGGCAAAACCCGGCGCCTGGTTATAGAGCAGCTGGAGAAGAAAGATGCTGGAGAATACATCTGTGAGGCTGCAGGCCAGAAGCTGACCTTCAAGTTGGAAGCAACTGGTGAGGACTCACCTAAGCAGCTCTCTGTTTGGCTTAGAGGAAAACTGGATATTCCCTATCCAGTGGCCACGGTGCGGCCACTATTTTCCCTGGAGCAACATCAGTGAACCACATCACACATTAATTTGACCTTTTTAATCTAGTGGTGTGGAGGTGGGAAATCCGCCTGGAGACCTTTTTTTGTCTATGGAAATGCTACATAGTTTTTTGTATAGTGTCTCCTTTGCATGGCCCATCACCCAACTTTTTTAAGTGGTGGGGAGCTGAAAGTGGAAGTGGGAAGTTTTGAAGAGCAGAAATAGAGCTGTGGAGAAAGGTGACTAAGAATAACTGGTCTGCTACAGTGTGTGCCCTCAAACTGCCCAGTTTTGTGGCAAAGCATTGTACAAGACAGAGAAGAAGCCAAGAGAAGGAGAATAGAGCAAGCAAAAAAGAAAATAGGCCACAAGTTCAGGTTCAGCATATTAATGTTTCTTCTTAATTAGATCTAATATCCTAAAAATGGGAGAGGAAATGATTATACAGGTTATTTTACTTCTAAAAACCAAACTTTTTGTGGGCAGCAGATAAAATGTATATTTTCCTTTCCTTTCCTTTGCTTCTCTTCTAAACAGAAGCTCTGGGTTGCCTGATGGATCATTGTCTTTCTTCCTGCTCAGCAAAAGGTTACACCAGCCACAAATAGTCAGCCCTATTCCCTGGGTCGTTACAGATTATGGATGAGCTGGTGTTGTGAGTCATGGAGAGAAGGAAATAGAAAATTGCTGTATTAAGGATTTGAGACTTAAGTTATTAGTTTTCCTATTTTAATGTCTTTCCTAGAACCAGAGGCTAAATTTGAAAAGAAAGTTGTCCAGAAAGAGCCTCTCATAGTTCAAGAACACGAAAGCATCACACTGACTACTTCAGTAACGCCTGAAACTGCTGCAGTAAAGTGGTTCAAGGATGGAACAGAAATCAAGGCGAGCAAGAAATACGGGATCAAGAGTGAGGGAGCATCCAGGACCCTGACGGTGAACCTGGCTGAGAGCACAGACACTGCCGTGTACACTTGCCAGACAAAGAATGACAAGCAGGAATTCAAAGTACAGGTGAAAGGTGAGCAGAGAGCAGCACACAGGTTGTGTCCTAACCCGACAGCTGTGTTTCCCTCGTGGTAGGATGGAGATGAAGTCCAAAATCTCTCTAAAACTGTTCTAACCTCAAGGCTTGAATTGCTGTTGCAGCTGCTGTGGCTGTCCCACCATGGGCCAGCAAAGTTCTCCTGCTTCCAAATACCCAATGTTGTCCTTTGCTGGCTACTCAGGGGGACAAGGAGTCCTACAATGGGGGCATTTTCTGGTGTCTGCTCCCCACTGTCATCATAGAAGCACAGAATGGTTAGAGTTGGAAGGGACCTCAAAGATCATCTAGTTCCAACCCCCCTGCCATGGGCAGAGACACTCACCACTACACCAGGTTGCCCAAAGCCTCATCCAACCTGTCCTTGAACACTTCCAGGGATGGAGCATCTACAACTTCTCTGGGCAACCTGTTCCACTGCCTCACCACCATCATGCTCTTTCTGTCTCCTTCTAACCCCATCTGGGACATGGCAGAGCCTTAGCTCTTCCCCACTCTGCTCATTAGCATGGAAAAGCTGATGAAGATATAGAGGGATGTTTTGTGAGAGGAAGATTTGTTAGTCACATGATGAAACAGGATCTGAATTGTATCCTTCTCTGGTACTGGGATGCTGCACCTGGGATGCTGCTCCCTAGTCAAGGCCAAGGCTGTAAATTGACAAGAAGGATGAAGTTACAGCTGGTCCACAGATGGAGATGAGAGGGGTGATGTCCCAAAGAAAAGGCCTGCTCCTTTCTCTTCAGACACTCACACTGGAGATGTTCGCAGCTGAGATGAGCACCTTCAGCTTCCTTTGGAGTCATTGCAGAGCAGCAATTGCTAATAGGTCATGCTACATCTGACCTATTGAAATGTCTTCTCTAGGATGAAAGAAATCACACCCTGGCTTTCTCTGACTCCATTGGCTGTGTCTCCAGTGACAGCAGAGACAAAGGTGCTGGAGCTTGTGCATCCATATGGATTTTTACATTTAGTCAGGCAAATCAAACTCTGATGTAAAAACATCACATAGTCTCACCGGGTATGAAATCAGAAAGGAAGGAAGGCAAAACCCAATCCTGTTTAAAGGCACTGCTATTGCTTCACAGAATGATAATGATATTAAAATTCCATGTCAAAGCAATCTCCCCAAATTTCCACCTTTCTGGTCTGTTTCTGTCTACTCTGATCCCCAAATCTGTTGGGTTTGGTTTGGTTTGTTTTTTGTTTTATTTTAATGTTGGCCAGAAACTGTTTCTTAGAAGAGTTTCTGTCTACTCTGATCCCCAAATCTGTTGGTTTTGGTTTGGTTTGTTTTTTGTTTTCTTTTAATGTTGGCCAGAAACAGTTTCTTAGAACAAGTTTCTTATCTTTTCCTTTCTCACCATTTTTTCTTCTTCTTCTGCATCTCAGAAATCCCAGTGAAGTTTGCCAGAAAACTCGAAGCTGTTGACGCTGAGATTGGAGGCAGCGTCACTTTGAGCTGCGACGTCAGCCATGCCAAAGGCAAGGTGGTGTGGCGCAGGAAAGGACTTCAGATCAAGCCCAGCAAGCGTTTCCAGCTTCATGAGGAAGGGGTCAAGCGAACGCTGACGATAACAGGGATCCGCGCTGAGGATGAGGGGGAGTACTCCTGTGAGTCCAGAGATGACAAGAGCAGCGTTACCATCACCCCCAAAGGTATGTCTCTAGAACTGAATGGTGAGAACGTGGAGGGCTTCCATGGGTTTTGTCCTCAGCCATCACAACGCTGCAAAGTTGAGTTTGTTCATGTGTTTGTGCCATCTCCTGTGTTGACAGCAAAGTACAAAACTCCACTTCCTCTCTCAGTGTTGGTGGAACCACTATTTGTGAAGAACATAATGATTTTGAGACCTGTTGAGCTTAGGTCTCTTAATATGTGGGCAAATTGACCTTCATATTTCACTTCAGGCTGGAATTAAGTATCTCAAATCTAAGATTTTTTTTTTTCTTTCCCCCTCCTTCTTTGCCTGTCTCTTCTGGCATCTTTATACACAAAACTTAACCAGACATGGGAGACATGATGACCCATTACTGTGATCACTTACTGAAAGTAATAAAAATTGATGTTTCCAATAAGATCATTGAAGCTTTTGGCTCTTTGAAGGTGTTTATGCCACGTCTCAAACATGTGCTCCTAAATGTTTTATTCCTCTCCGTCAGCTCCCAGAGTGGTGAAATTCGTTACGAGCCTCAACAGCGTGGTCTCGGAGGAAGGAAAAGAGGCTGTGTTCAAGTGCACCGTCTCTCCCAGTGATGCCGTGGTCACTTGGCTCAGGAATGGTGTCAAGATTGAAGCCAGCAAGAAGTACGTGATCTCGCAGAAGGACACCAACCACAGCCTCACCATCACCGATCTGACACTGGAAGATGCAGCTGAAATCTGCGCCGATGCTGAGGGTGTAGAAAGCAAAGCCAATCTTAGAGTCCGAGGTAGGAGATGATAATGTCCCTTTGACAGGCTGTCACTGATGCTATGACCCATGCTGTTTTATGTGGCCCTCAGTAGGAAAATTTTGCTTTTGCATCATTAAATATGGATGCTCAGAATGCATTGGGACTGGAGATACATGAGCCACCATTTTAATTCTCTCTGGAAGCCCGTTTTATGGATCCTCTACATTCTCACTAATATTTCTTCTGCTTTGACAGAGGCCTCAATCTCATTCAAGAAGAAACTCGAGCCCAGAACAGTTGAAGAGAGGGACACAGTGACCTTGGAGGTAGAGCTGACCAAGCCTGCAGAGGTGAAGTGGATGAGGAACAGCGTCGTATTGAAGCCCAGTGAAAAAATAGAGATCAAAGCTGAGGGAACAAAGCATACCTTGGTGGTTAAGGACATCTCCTTTGCAGACAGGGGCTTCTACTGCTGTGAGAGTCCTGATGACAAGACCCAAGCCAAGATCAACGTGGAAAGTAAGTTGAATGATCTCCAGATCTATAAATAACCTGGACAGGGTTTGGAGGTGGATTCTGGTTTCTGCCGCTTTCATAATGGTCACTGACACCCCCACCTGCCATGGGGATATGGGGACACAACCATGGGCTTGGCCATCAGTCAAATGACTGAAAGGAGGTGGAAGCAAGAGCAGTAAATAGAACAACTGTCTGAATCTTGTTGCCTCCATCTCATCTCACCTCACCAGGTTTCAGTCATGCTGTTGACCACTAAGCTTCTTAGCTGATTCTTCTCCTTCCTCAGAAATTTCTCTCTCTCTGGTACACTGTTTTTTTTCCTTTGTATGGTTTTTAGCAAACGATTCCCTCTTCATCCACCCATTGCCCTAATTCTTCTCTGTAAACCAACTCTTTCAGAACATTTCTTGATATTTAGTGAGGGTTAAAAAAGCTGTAAAAGCAAATCTTCTATCTGAGGGTGTTGCCCTTTCAAGTGAGCTGATGGTGTCTCAGCTGTAGCCTTGTCCTTCTGTCCTTTTTCCTACATGCTTTTGTCACAATTGTTACAGGATAGATGAAGACAGGATTTAAGCACTTAAGGACTATCTAATTTTGTCTGTAAAGCCCCTGCCACCAACTGGTGTGGTGTAGGTCATAAAGTAAGGAAGGACTTGATAACAGACCAAGGACATAAAAGGCTGTTATAAAGTGAAAGGGAACAGTGTGTTCTCCATGTGGAAATAACGACAGGAAATAATGGACTTCAATTGCAATGAGAGACATCCAGGTTATATAATAAAAAAGCTCATTAGTGGTTGGATGACTGAATGGATTGTCTGGAGAGGTTTTGGAGCCTCCATCATGGGTTTAAGAAAAAGTTAGTGAAATATCTGTGTGAGATGACATAAAGAACTGAGCATGTCCTAGAGCTGGAAGAGAAAGGCTGGATTATTTTCCTAGGTCGTTCCAGCCTTATAATATTGTGGTCTTCTGATGGTATCAAAGATATAAAAAATTGATGACAGACTGTCTCATACAGAGCAGGGTTTGTCAAATCACTTCCATGCACTGCTAAGACAGCTTAATCTTCAAAGTCTTCCTGGCTGACAGTTGGCAAAACCCCACTGCTTTAGCATCCTGATATGGGGCACTTATCACTTCTATTGACATTTGCTCATCTTTTTTCCAAACTGAACAGCTCTAGAAAAAAAAACCAACAGATACTACCAGTAACTAGCAGCAGGTATATTAGGCTTGGATTCATGCAGCCTAAATGTAGCACACCACTTTCAGCTCCTTCTGAAGTCAACAGAGAGAAAAAAATACCTCCAGAGAGTGTTTGAGGTCTTAGATGCATTGAGTTACCTTCTGAAGTCTGTCTGACTACTCAAGGAACCATGGGTGACTACTATTCTGGTTTAGAACTAGATTCAGGTTTACTGTCTCAGTTAAATGGGATGAACTGGGTCCACAGAAGATACAGAAATATAGCACTTCTGTGGTGGCAATGTGTTGGAAGAATCCAGTACGGGATGGGGCAGTTTGCTACTCCATCCTCTTTCACACATTGCATGCCATGGCTTTTTTTTTTTTTTTTTTTCCAGATTCTGGGTGATAACTTAGTTTCCTTCCAGGAAGATGTTTCAGCAGTTAGTTGTAGATTCAGTTATACCTGGTTTTAGGCACTGGCTGTTGCTGTAGCCAAGCAGTAAAACCAAAAATGATGGAACAGTGTTCGTATAGGAAATAATTGGGTAGTCCTGACAGCTGCCAACAGTGTTTCATGCAAGGTGAGTCAGGCAAGCATAAATATGTATCTGTCTCTGGTTTACAAACTTCCTAATCTAGTGGAGAGAGAGGATTTTGGTTTATGTTTCCCAGGCACTCAGCTGCCTTCTCATCACTTATGCTTAGTGTCACTATAAAAAGTAGCTCTGCTGATGAATTGGGTAGTTTCATGTAGTGATGGAAACTCAAATTGATCTGAGAGTGACCATGATCAAAAAGAGGAATTGGCTCACTGTAGCAGGGAATTATTTTTATGTATGATCATCCAGGCCTTTGTTATGAGATGCAGCAGGAAAGAGGCTGCATACAAGAATCTCCGACTAAATGTATTCTGCATCCAAGTCCTCCAGCTGAGATGGCACTGAGCTCTCACACTGCTTTACAGCCAAGGCAAGACTCTAAAAGCAGAAGTCTAAAATCATGCTCCATTTTTTGGCGTTTAAGCAAATGGTCTCTTTTCAGGACAATGTGTTAGAACTTACACTGAGGTCAGCAAAAGTTCTTTAAATGCTTGCAGTCTGGGAAATTGAGCTATTACTACTATTTGGTACTCCACTTTAGTTCAGGAAGCCTGATTTTAGAGGACCTTTATTTAAAAAACATGAAGCTGGACTGATACTGTATGGTTTGAAATAGATTGCTTTCAGAGCAAGGTAAATAAGGATTAGCTGTGTGAAAATCTGTTGATTTACATCAGTGTAAAAGTTGCTTCATTAAAAGATAAACATCTGTTCTGATCTTAAGATGCCAGGAGATTCTAAAACCAACTGAGCTGCTCAAACCCAAAACATATCTGGCTGAATATCTATTTTCAGTTTTGACCAGGATAAGATGTTTGTGGAAGACTCAAGTAAGTCATGGGTAAAGTGGTTCTTCCTCTGATACACCTTTAAGCTTTCAGCAGGGAAAAGCATAATTAGGTCAATTAATTATAGCAGAAATTATACTGGGAACACGAGTATGAAATTTGAAATCTCAGGACACAATATATTGTCTATTAAAATAAATCCTGTAAAAATTCTACCATTCCCCAATTGTTGCTGCTTTATGACAAGACCTCCAAAAAAGATATTTTTTTTTTTTAATTCTATGTAGGACACCAGGTGAGGACATATCCAGGAGGCCACTTGCCGAGTTAGAAATGGCTATGCTATTTAGTTAATGTTTTTGCAAGTCCCTTTTGCTATCTCATCAGAAAAATTTCAGTTTGGTCTTCAGTCCATTCACTGTTTGAGAAATAGGGGAATGATGCAACTTCTAGTGAGCAAAGCAGGATAGCTGGGGTCTTAGTTTGGGAAGCAAAGAACAAGCTCCTGGAAGTGTCTGTACTTCCCTCATTTGTCTGGTTCAAGATATGTCCTTGGGGCAAATCTGTGTTTAAGTGGTCGTGGCTTTGGAGATGGTCATTAAGAGAGGAATCAGTGTGGTTTCCTTGAGAGAGGAATTAGACAGGATCCTTCAATGGATGCATATGTTCCTCTGTAAACCTGCTGTGAAACATAACAGCAGCAGAGGATATAGGAAAGGCATAAGGAACTGGTATTATGTGGAGTCCACCATCACCCTCCTGGGGCGAGCAGTACAGTGCTTCTACACATTTTCTTAATAAAGTCATGGTCTACTCATATCATCTCTGTGCAACCTTTGGAGAACAGTTTGTTCTCTGTTGTCCTCCATGTAACATAGGGGCAGCTACCATCAGGAGATGCTTAAAGCCTCAGAGAGGCCGTGGTGTCCTCAGCCCAAGAGCTGGGTCCATTACCAGACCATGTCCACTGAACAGAGCCCTCAGCCCACTCCTGGTTAGGTTTGCATTCAGATCTTGTCTCAATGTGGATTATTAAATGACTTTAAACTGAAAGAGTGCAGATTTAGATTAGATATAAGGAAGAAATTTTTCACTCTGAGGGTGGTGAGGCACTGGAACAGGTTGCCCAGAGAAGTTGTGGCTGCCCCATCTCTGGAAATGTTCAAGGCCAGGTTGGATGAGGCTTTGAGCAACCTGGTGTAGTGGAGGGTGTCCCTGCCCATGGCAGGGGGTTTGGAACTAGGTGATCTTTGAGGTCCCTTCCAACCCAAACCATTCCATGATTCTATAATTCTATGAAACCTGTGCTAGGAAGGTTGAAATATTCTCAGGGGACTCATAGGGAGTTGAAGGTTTTTGTGAGTATTTTGTGGCTTTGTAGAGGTTTGTGTTTTTTTCAGTTGGCAGCTGAATTTAAGAGTGAGACAAGTTTAAATACTAAATCCATTTTACTGGCTGATAGGGCACTGATGTCTTGTAGTGGGAACAGGTAATATCCACCCAAAACACAGATGCTTCATCCTCTAAGCTGTAAGGTGTCAGCACACTTCACACCATGTCATAGATTATTTTTTTTCTCTTTTACTAAGAGCTTTCTCCTCTCCTTGCTACTTCTCTCCCTGCCTTCTTTTATCCTAGTTGAAAAGCTGAATAATATTGTTTATTCCTTTATGCTCAATTAATCTCTGTTGATCATCTCCTTTCTCTTGAATCATGCCTGAAGAATGAGTATTTTTAGCAACTTCTCTCTTGCTGTACAGCACAAGGAGCCTGGTCCCAGCGTAAATAACAGCGTTATCATCTTCTAGAGTGTTTCTTCCTGATGCTGCCTCTCTGGGTGTCGAGGTTTAGGCCGATCCGGCAACTAAACTCCACACAGCCGCTCTCTCACTCCTCCTCCAGTAAAGTGGGGAGGAGAAAAATATAATAAAACAACTGAGGGTGAGACAAGAACAGAGGGAGCACCCACCAACCATGGTCCCGGGCAAAACAGACTCGGCTTGGGAATAAAACAATTCATTTTACTAACAGTTATTTTGAAAAGATAGAGACAAAGAAAACCTGTTAATCGAGAGGATAAAAAGAAAACAAAGCCAGATCTTAAAAACAACACCTTCCCACCCCCCTTTCCTTCTCTTCCCAGCTCTACCTTCCCCCCCGGCGGCGCAGGGGGACAGGGAACGGGGGAGTGCAGGTCAGTTCATCCCATGTTGTTACTGCCGCTCCTCTCTTAAAGGAGGAGGAGCCCTTACACCATTTTCCCTTGCTCCAGTGGATCCCCTACTCACGAGGAAAATCCACAAACTTCTCCAGCGTGAGTCCTACCTACAGGATGCAATCCTTCC